ATTAAGGAACCACTCAACCAATCAGATTGCTGGAAACTCTTTGCTCAGCTCTGTAATTACACAAATTAACAATTATTCCACAAGCTCATGTTGGATAAGAGATGATAGATAGCCAATGAGGCGCATAGCGCCAAGTTGGCTATAATCATCTCATCCAACAAGCGTGAGTGGAATAATTGTTTTATTAAAAAAAAATGCCTCCAAGATATTAGACAAATCTTCTCGACTTTATTTTGTAAGAAGAAACCGGATGTTACAATGTACAGATATTAGATTATGGTATATTAGCTCATATACCACAATGGCTAAGCCAATAAAAAGTCTTGAATTGCATTATCCAATGATCTAGTTTTTAATAATTGTCATTATACACCTGTTGCTAATAGTTACACACCACAGTGATTCTTCTTGCACATGCATACATGTATGATTTGGAGATTTTTTTTTCTCTTCCATACAGTTCACATCTTACCCTGGATTTTTTCCAACTGAAGTAACACCATTGCCAGGCCAACTGGAAGCACCTCAGCTGTTAAACAGGGTTACAAAGTCTCAGCAGTTCCCTGTAAGTCAGATAATTCATTTTTTTAAGCAACTAAGCAATCCTCATGGACATTCAGTAAATTTACCCAAATGGTTAGGTTGGTGTGATGAATGGCACAAACCCTTGCATTCTCAGTGCCAGCCATGTACCATAAAATCATGGACAATTTAGGTATCAGCAAGTTAAATTTACTACATGTAAGATGAAGCCATGCCTCCTACAGCTGTCCAGTCTTCCTGTATGCTACACCAAAGGGCTAATGGTTGATACAAGTCCATTTTGAAAAAAAATTGTGATGGCAAGTTACTGAGTGAGGACTATCATTAACTTGTACAGTTAAATGACCAAAAAGTTACTCCACTTGCTCACCAAACTTAAACCCTCTAGATTTGTGGAGAGATGTTTCATTTTGCAACTTTGGTGATTTATTTTGAAATTATTTTATAACTTATTTTTTATTTTGTCAAGAGAACCAAGTCATAGAAATTATACTGTGTCTAACCACTTTTTCGTCTATTTCAGTCAATTCTCAGGAAGAGATGGAAGAAAATGTTTTTGTCAGAAGGATCTGTGACTTTGTTGCAGGTACAACTGATGATAATTGCTCATGATAATCTGTTTTGGCTCTGATATAACCATTAAAAATACACTCCAGGCCATAGTTGTAGGTTCCGAATATCTCTCCAGTTGATAGCGCAGTATGTTTTGTAATCACATATCCACTGGAGAGAAATTTATCTGATGGTCATGGTGTTATCTATCCTTTATGGGCCCAGGCTGTTAGTGACAAATGTTTGTAAAGGTGTACAGGAACATTAAGCATGTGAATTAGTGGAGCCACTAGTAGCTGTTTCTAAGATGGAAAACTATTGCCAAAGTCAAATACAAGGTTAATTTAAGACACATTCATTGCTTTCATTTCAAGAAATTTATGTACAGCCTTACTAGTAACAACTGTAAAGATTAGGCAGTTGGTCAGGTGGCTGGTTGGTTACTCTGTGAGCATGCAGGCTCTTGTTATTAGAGCTTTGCCACAAGTGTTTCTCCACCTGCAAGGAAGTATGCATCCTTGAGCAAAGCCTGCCAGCAGGAGGTCTGCAGGGGGGCCAACACCACTGAGATAGTTGTATTCACCCAAGGTGAAACTCTCTCAGATTTGTATTTAAGTCTCCCTGTTGGCTGAGAAACGTGTGTCCCACATTGCTAATAATGAAAGCCTACCCAAAGGCTGTTGGTTGGTCAAGCAGAGGTTAAGTCAATTTGTTAGTTGATTAGTCAGTTGGTCTTGCTATAAAAAGTGGTCTATAAGTTCAGCATATCTACAGGTAGGAATATGAAATTATCATCAAAACTTTTGTCAATGCCTTATTGTGTTAAAACTCACATAATTCCCTTTTTTTGTTTGTTTCCTTTGTAGGATACTTTCTGGTGGTTCTTTTTGGAAAAGTTCCAGGTAAATTCTCCTTAATTTTAAGACTTTTGAAACTTTTGAAGTGCTCAGCTAGTTAAATGAAGTTTAATTTGTGACTTGTTAGGGGTTGGAAGACAGTGATAAACAGATAAGATAAATGTAATCATATTTTAAATTTGTATGTTTACTTGTGAAGTTTTTTTTTCTCAGCCTGATTGCAAGAAAGCTCAAGATGGATTGTTTAACAGAATTGCTGACAGTTTTGTTGCTTTGTTTTTTGGTGTTAGTCCTGATTTCAAGGACAAATTCTTCCAGGTAAAATAGATCATAATCTTTGAGGTACATACATGTACATGTACTATACCTGTCCTTTAAGGAATCCACAAGTAATTAAAGTGATCAGTCCATTGATTTTAAGTTTACTTGTGCTTTTTGGTGGTGCCATGAGTTTGCTCCTAGGAGATATGCACTCTATTTCCAAAGAAAAAAAAACAGAATAAACAGATAAGAAGAGTTCATTGCATACACTTTGTTAAGTTCCAGGTCTCTCTCTGGTTAAGTACTACTTAAATGCTAAGCACGCTAGGTTTCGATGACTGTTTTTTTTTTGTTTCATTCAACTATAATCAGATCCAGAACAAAAGCTAATCCCAAGTTGGTCGCCCGCATTTTTCCGCCCTTTGAGTTCTCATTGACTCTTAAAAGTATTTTCCTCTCTTCTGATTGGCTGTTGTGATTACATTGGTTTTTGTGAAAAGAAGGGCCGCGACCGAGATGAAACATAGTTGAAATTTAAAAAAGATCTCTGGCAAAAATTATTAAAAACTACGAGCTTTCGACTGCCCGAACTGCAGTCTTCGACGGGTAAAATGAATGATAAGCAGTCGGAAAACGCTCTAACTTGGCGAGGCGTTGCTGTAATACACCTGAAACTACTTGTTATTTAAATGTACAGTCCTTTTGGATTTTCCTTTTTTTTTTATTTTTATTATGACAGTATTTTCCGGACTGCCTGGCTCAAGCTGTTTACGCATCATACTGTGAGGTTTTCCCAAGATCTTATCAGTTGTTTGATGATGACTTTAAAAGTTTCCTACTGAACACCATCTCAGAGTGGGTGACAGGTACATGTGCATAACACACACTAGCTAATGCTTTGAAACCAGCACTCCAAGCTGCAACCATTTTAGTTGCCATGGCGAGCAATGGAAAATAACCTAAATAAGCAGCTTATGTGGTCAGTTTGGTAATGTAACAAGCTCTAGCGCTTTGCTTACCAAGTTTAACTGTATCAGTCAATCAATCAATCAATCAATCCTTTATTTAAACACGTGACACCTAGGAGTACAGAAGTTCTCGTTAAAACGTGTACGTGTAAATTATGAACATTTGCGTGAGTTATTGTTATTGCTCCGTTCTTTTCTTTCATAAAAAAGGGCCTATTTCTCCTTAGTTGTCTGCTTTCATATGTCATGTGAATCAAATTTGCGCATGGCTTTGACCCTCGTATTAAGATTTGGTTTTAAAAGATTTTGATGAATTTTTCTATTTCTTATTTCTATTGGGTTGCAGGAAGGCCATGGAGTACAGAATGAAGGGAGGGGGGAGGGGAGAGGGGAGAGAGTAGTGGGGTGGGGAGAGAGACGGACACCGTATGTCATGGGCTACAGCTGTGGGCATGGGTTGAAATAATCCTGGTTGGTCATTCTACAGAAATTAAAACATAAAGCGCTTACCGTTCCTCCTTGAAATGTACAGGTACAAGGCCTCCACCTTACTCGTGGAAGAAATGGAACTTAAAACTTTTGGAGCCTGGCAATATTCGCGAACTACAAGATGACAGGACCCAGTCACTTAAAGGTAAGGATATGATATTAGGAATTTNTGTCTAATATCTTGGGGGCGTTTTATTAAATAAAACAATTGTTCATTATGCCTGGTGCTCGGTTATGTAAGCACGTGCGTCTCTGGAGTATTATTCCGCTTTCAGTGGGACGAGACGGAAATTATTATAGTTGGTAATCTCAGAGTTCGAAATATAGTAACGACGTATCAAAAATGAAACGCTTAAGCTCTGCGTATAGGCGAGTTTTATAATCATTCCAAGCTTGTTGCATATCATATAAAAGGCTACAAATAGGTACGCATTCATTAGCCTGGCCCCGGTCTTCCGAAGGTTGAATAATGCCATCCACTCGATAGATCTCTATCCGGTGGACAGCGCAGTACATTTTGCTGTCGCTTAACCGCTGGATAGCAATTTATCCGTCAGATAGCATTATCTGCCCTTTACACAGCTGGGCCTTGGTGTTTAACTGCTTCAAAGTAATAAAAGCTCTGAGTTTAAATGTTTTAAAGTAGTAAAAAGTATAAGAATGTGTGTATTGGTTTCTTTTCATTTTGTTGTTACTGCTTTCAGCTAACATGTCGTTTGATCTGGACTTATACTTGGATGATTTGGACACTGTCCCTGCCAGTAAGGAGAAAGCTGGAACACACACTGCTCCCTACTCGCCCTCCAGAATGGGACTGACAATCATTCCAACATTCGATAGCGCAGATGTAAGTTTATGTGAAAGCACTTCAAGGACGCTATTTCCTCAAGAGTGAGTTTAGATTGAGAGAAACTTCGGCCATTGAAGTTATCATAAGTGTAGACTTGTAATGAATGCTATGAACTTCTGTCAACCTTATTCATAATATTATGGTCTTAACGATTTAAGAACTCTGATACTTCTTTTTTACCCTCTCGTTCTTATCAAGTTTGCTAGTCCAAACAGTATTTTCGCTTGTAGGACGCATGTAGGACGCTTGGCTCAGGCGAATATGTTATATTATTATATGGCCTGGCTCACGCGTGAGCGAAAACTTTTCGATTATCCATGTTGCAATGAATCGTGACTCAGTTCCTTTACCTGTTGGTTATTATTGTTGTTTTTGTTGTTGTTTTTTTATAATGTAAGTAAAGTACGCATTTAACTTTCGTTATTTTTTCATATTTTTCCCAAGTCACACGAGGTCGGCCCAGGCCCCGAGTTTGAGCGCGTCGGTTTTAATCTTTTGGGCAGGAGTCCTTTGGTGTCACATTTCCTGCGGATGAAAGAACTGACAGGAAAAGAAGAGCTACCTGTTCAGGCTGTAGGACGCACTGAAGTCGCCAAATTACCGTATCCTTTGTGTTTAATTAAAGGAGGAGCTTTTTCCATCCCTGTAGATCAAGAAGTACTTTTGATTTTCCATTTGTCATGACATGTTCTCGCCTCGCGCGTTTGTCTGTGCTCACTTGATGAAATAATTCCTTGGGGTGCATTTTATTTATTGAAGTTATCATTCTTCCTAATCGGGTATTCCGAAGTTCTTTCACACAGAAAAGTAACTTATTGGAGTCCATACTCCTGTTGGTACTCATTGCAACCTTAACTCGTTCCCAGAGCTCCAGCGCCTACCTACAAACAAGTTATAAGAGATTGCAAAAAGACGACAAAAACGTTGAGTAATCATTATCAAAGGTGAGACACAATAGAATAATTCAAGTGGTCTTCTTCATTGAGAATAATTGGTCTTAAGCCTTTATTTTTACCCTAGTTATTTACTCATGTGTCTATTTTAACTTCATAATTATTTATATACGCAATGGTCCATTATTCATTCATTCATTCCTTTATTCGTTTATTTCTCTTCTAAGGTCACACCTTCACCTCGAAATAACATTAATTGGGAATTTAACTGCGATTATTTTCCTTCTATTTAAATATTATTATATACTAACAGTACACTGATAAGTAGATTCCACATGAGAATTAAGAAGTTATCAGTCATATGGGGGAAATATCCTTGATATACAACTCCAAATTCTGACCAATTAAGTTAACAGAGAAATGTAATGCAGTAAATGGCTTGAAC